ATATTGAAATTTCAATGCATTTATATCGATACTTTGTGCATCTTCGTTTACTTTCTCTTCAATTTACCTAAGAATTACCTAAGAATTATTACGAGACTGATTAAAAAATCCATTTTTATAACATCTAGAAATTATCATTGGGATAAATGTTCCTCAACCAGGTAGTAATAAATTAATTACTGCGTACACATAACGATCGTCTGTATATGTAGTAATAATTTAATCAGTCGAGAAAAAAATTTTGCCATTCATGATAAGCATTGAGAAAGCATTGCAATAGAGCTAATTTTAAAGTATTCGACAAAATATCTAAAATTTTCTTTTTTTCCTACGCGCATACTCAATTTTCTAGATTCCATTCAATATCGAAATGGCGAATTAATTATTTCCACGTGTAACGTTCTCAATATAACGTATACCTTAAAAATTTGGAATATTATCGCAAATTCCACACCAAATCGAAACGAGACGATCATTTCTCCAAATATCGAAACTTTTCCACTGTGTCTTTTGGCCACGAACTTGAACTCGAATTCCATCACCGTTATGCGCCAATAATTGCAAAATCTGTGAAACTCGGTCGAAAGTCGAGAATCGAAATTCTAAAATGACTCTCTCTAATTATCCTCACAGAATCTTACCACTCTTCCTAAATAATGTCTAACGTGTGAATTGATTATTATCGGAATGTGCTGTAACATGTAGAGAAGCAAGAGAGGTGAATTTACCTTCAAATTAAACTAAACTATCCCGAAACTAAATAAACTCGCGTAGAGATTGTAACATTACCGGTTTATAATGTTAAATATTCACGTCACACGTTCTTGTTAATCCGAAAGTTTGTGCGACATACCTTTGAAGAGACTAAAGGCAGTTGCTATTTCTGTAATTTAATTCTTTTCCTTTCGTTGCAACAATGATATTTTAGAGAAAGTTGAGCGTTTTTTAAATTTTTTAAACCAAAGTTCTAAATTGGAAACTTAAATATTTAAAAAAAATATGGGAAAAGTTTTCTTTATTAACTATTTACTTTTTTTTATATATAATATATAATTTCAAAAAATTTTGTATTCAACATATATATATATAGATATATTTAAGAAAAAGCTACAATTTTTAAATAATTTCTCAACGAATGAACGATATTATTCGCCATTTTCTTTTTTCAATCATTAAAACACGATTTTCAAACGAAGAAAATATCCATTCCTTTAATAATTTAATCGCCGCAATAGCTAATTAACTCTACCCCAAATTCCATTCTAATCCTGCAATTACCAATCAGATCATCGATTATATATCTAAACCAAAGATTAGATTTACAATATCCACGTGTTGCAATAAAAAAAAAACCTTCCATCATGAATTTCTTCCACGATGTGTTATACACACTTTAACTCGTAAATATCAATAACCATTAATTATCATCGTTTCAATAATCTCAAATAATCGTGATTCTGAACTGTTAAAAGAGTACCTAGTCGAATCGATATCATCCTCCACGTGAATTCATGCGTCGTATCAAAGTCGAGGGAAATCCAATATTATCCAATATTATCTGTCGATGATTTAAAAGCCGAGTTAGTTATATAGACATAAAAAAACTATCTAAAAATAAACACATCCTTTATCAGCAGGATGAAATTTACACAATCTTATTTGCACAATACTCGTCAAACCGTGCAACAATACGGCTTCGTCCAACGCTTTTCGCTGGACACGTGGACTATTTAGCTTAGAGTTAACCGGTGTGTGTTGCCTTCGTTCTTTCTTTCTTTCTTTCTTTTTTTTCTGTCGTCTTCTTAAGTTAGATCGTAACCGATTATCCACGATCGTTATTTATACCCGCGACGATCTCGAGTCGAATTTGTTAAGCGAGGAACTAGGAGAGCATAAGGGACGTTGACCTCGAATCATCCTCGTGGATTTTCTTGTCGAGACGATTTGAACGTAGGAATGTTTGGAGTGAATGTTGGTAATGTATGCGATGCGAGAAGGAAATTGAAAAATTCGGAAAGGAACATTTCTGGAGATGAATTGAACATTTTGAAAAGGAAGATTTTGTGGAAAATATATATTGGAAGTTTTTTTAAATATATTTTAAACGCGATAAAAGGTGAGGACGACACGATAATTGTATGATAAAACGTGTGAACTTTATTTCTTTCAGAAAACTTTTATAATTTCTCTGTATTTTAAAGATTAATTTTAAAGAATCGTGAAAAATCATATGATAATTTAGATTAGGTTTAATTTTAAGAGCATTTTTCTAAAACTCCTTAATAGTAACTCTGTTTAATAATAGATAAAGTCTTTGGATAATTATTTCGTTACAAACTTTAATTTAATCTCTTTTTATATTTGTCGTGATGATTTATTAGTTGTTTTACTACTGTTTCTTTCGAGTATTAATCATTATTGTTACAATATTTGTACAAACTCTGCGATGAACGAGTAAACAAGATTGATCGAATCGAAAGATAATCTCCTGAGTATTCATTTATCTGTTGGATTTTTTAATTACGAGAGACGATTCCGATCTCTTTATCAAAATTTCGATATATTTATCTAGTCCAAGGAATCTTACATTTCGTGATAATTACTTTTTCAAATGAACATCCAAAATACGGTACATCGAATAAATAGACTTTTGTGTACTTAGGAAAACGCGATAATTTCATCGTAAATTTAGAAAGCGGTAGCGGTAGATAATTCCAAAGAATTATTTGTAAAATCCTAACATTTACTTCCTCTTCTTCCATTTCTCGTCAAAGATATCACAATGTGTTGAAAGATTTGTGGGTGTTGTAAGACGGAGGAAACATACGTGGCAAAGAGAGGACAATGTATTTTTGAAGATGTGTCTTGTTTGATATGAAAACACCGTCACGAAATTGGTTAAAATCGTATCTTATCGTTCATTTACAAGATACAAAATCAACCGCTTATTAAAACAACAGTCCATTCCTCATCGTAATTGTCTACGTCGAACAAATCATTTTTCGATGAAAAATTTCGTTGAAAGCATGCACTCCAAATAGTTAATTCATATAAGTATATTATGAACGTTCTTTTTGTTGGTCAAATTAATTTTTCTCTGGAATAATTGTGCATTTACCTTGCTGATTAATTTGGGTACGTGGAAATTATGTTTTTATTACATTCTTTATGTCTCTTTTTTTTATATTAAGCATTCATGTCAATTAACTTTTTTAATATTCGATTAAAAATTTGGAAAATTGAAGAAAATTGAAATCGATTTTGTTAAAATCAATCAAATTGACTTGATTTTCAAATTTTTTGCTTTTACAATTAAATAAAGTATATAGCTTTTGACAAAATCAACTTTGGTATTTATCTTACATTCAGAAATATAATATATAGATAATTATACTTATATTATTTTAATTTTAATTATCTATTTATAATACAGAGATAATGTTTAATGTAATTCTAGCTTTAAAACGACTTAGAAGTTCAAAGTTGGTCAAAGAGATCACAAGTCTCCAAGTTCATTCTCGGTTGAAGGTCGGCTAAGAGAGTATTGAGAAAGGTCAAGGTCGACCGAACATGTCGAACAATCGTCATGTGATGTGAACTCGTTTAGAAACGGCATAGTCGTTGTTCGTGTGTCAATTCAACGAGGTGATTGCTCCTTTGCCCGTGGGATTGTACTTCGTACATCTCATCAGCTGTGAGAAGTTTTCTTAGGATAAATTTCATCCTTTAATCGAGCTCTTCAAATCGTAGTACATCGAAAATCACTGGAATTATTCTGTTTTCATTTCGGTGAAATGGAATTAAAATCATTTATTATGATCTAAAATGTTCCATGTTAATTTTTTTTTTTTATTTTTAATCTGATGCAATGTCTCACTTCTGTTCTTCGAATGAAGTGGAAGAAATAGTAAGTCAATATTTTCCTTTCTTTAATAATTCTTGGCAATTAAATCACTCAATGTCAACTTATTATATAGTTATTAGAGTTATATCATTCTCGATCTACCTTATGCCAGTTTTAATCATGATCCAAATCGTTGAAAATGGAAAAAGAGATCTGATCTCATGGTTCCAGGCCTGATTAAAGCCATGTTTTCTCGATATTCTACTCAATGGGCGTTTATCTGGACGCTTTCTTCTTATGATATCTGCCATTTGACTCATTTTATGACATTTATGATATTCTGTACTACATAAACTGGGTATAATATCTATGATTCATACATGGAACTGGTATATAATACATAGTAGCATATTTCTAGCCCAAGAATCCAGTTTTCAAGTTAGACTGAGTGAAGTACAGACACGTTTTTCTAATATACGAGATCGACATTTGCGCATGTCATGTCATTATATTATAATTTTGTAATATCTTTAATTTTAAGGATAAATGGAAATTCATAGATCGCGGAAAGGAAGAAAAGCTGTTCCGTCAATTTCTTTCCCGCCTACGCGTGAATAATTTACGATAATTTATAATTATATTCATATGTTGTGTATCGACGTATATTTTACGAGTATGACATGTCGTATGCATGGATTGAATACGGTGCAAACAAACATCTAATTAATTAGACAATTTTTATAAATATATAAATCGTTAATATATTCGTGGAATACGTTTTGGAGGATCGATTCTAAAGGCTGAAACATAAAAGTGTTGGTTAAAATTTATTGCTTTTATTGATTATAGGCAACATAAACTCATACTGGACGAAGCGAGACAAAACTTCAATTGTTCAATACAACTTACCAGAAGAATCAATCCTTAATCGACATTTTTACATACCAATTAATACTATAATACTATAATTGTTTTTCAAATTGTTGTTAGAATCGAATCTCCAAAGGAGATCCCCGTAAAATATATCAACATCCTGTTACGAATCGCAATCTTTTCAACGCCTCCGCTTCAAACTCCACCGTCTCTTTTTCCATTTCGATTTCTCTCTTTCGATCTTTCCTCTCTTATCTCCATCACGATCGTTGTAACATTCCAGCCAACCGTGGACGACGATGGCGTCGCTGGGGAATAAAGTGGATGAGCAAGTCGCCAAGGCACCGCAGCAAAATGGACGGAGGAACGAGGAACAACTGCAGATGGAAGACATTCATGACAATAACAACGAGGTAAGAGGCTGGACATAATATGATGCAAATGAAACAGGTGGGCTTGGTCCGATCGGATCGATGTTATTCGATAATACTCTATGAGAATCCAATTTGCTCGTGTATAAATTGCACGTAGATACCGGGGCATTATAGTTGTGACAAGATGCCTCGATAAGCGTGTTCTAGGCATGGATCGCACGTGGCAACCACTCAACTTTGACATTTCCCCTCCGCGATGGATTTTCAATGAGCGGCGGTGACTCGGTTATTTTCATTCATCCTTCACGAGCAAACCTCGCTGCAACAGGAAACTTGAGAAGAATCTTCGATTTAAATATTTAAAAGATAAGCTAACTCGTAAAAAATATTACCAAAATCCTCTTGAATATATATATATATATATACACAAGATCTGGTTCGATCGAAAAGAGAATAAATCAAAAGAGAAGTTTCAACTTGCGAAACGCATACTTCGATGTTTAATATGGGCAGATAACGTTGCACGTGATTAAAAATGCTCGTCGCAGTAATTCGTATACGTTCTTAGCCGACATTGGTATCAGGCGTAACATGTCTCCACGATAACTCGACAGAGTTTTGGGTCACGCGGTGTCTAACGAAATGCGAAAGTGGTCAGCCCGGCCGGTTTCGGCGTTACTTAACCTTGATCTCGAGAGAACCTCGTGAATTTCCACGGACGACGAAATCCCTCTCCTTGTCCATCATTTCTCCACGAGTTAAATATTTCCTTCTTTCCTTCCCTCGTTCCTGAAGACAGCAAACAGTTTTTAACGCGCAAGATGCATTCATTTGAACGAAACTTGGAACCACTATCAAACTTTGTTTAATTTATTTCTCGTAGTAGACGTTGTTGAGAGAATCGCAGAAACGAAGAAACTCGAATGTCCAACCGAAGCGTGAAACCGATCTGATATCTTATCTTATAGGCGCGTTATTGCCTGTTAGTATGGTAATGGAAAGAGAGTTTCGAAGGAAAATTCTCGAGAAATTTCTCGTCGAAAGTTAAGTTTTCTCGAGGGGCTCATATATTCACGATTGTTGTTGATAGAGCATCGAGGTCGAGATGGTGGTGCCGCCGGATGGTGGATGGGGTTGGGTGATCGTCGCAGCCTCCTTCATGTGCAATCTGTTCGTGGACGGTATCATCTTTAGCTTCGGTGTCTTTTTAAACGACATATCGGACGCATTTGCGGTGTCCAAGGCGAGAGTGGCTCTAGTTGGCTCCCTGCAATCCGGATTTTATCTTATGGCTGGTCAGTGACAAAAAAGGAACATATAATTCCTCTGATACTCGAGCGATATTCTTGAAAAATATGTTTTTTTTATCTGCCATATATTGAATCACTTTTTCTTTTTATTCTTTTCCTGTCTTATTTTTTAAAATATTTTTAAAATATAATGCTTTCAATTATATCGTAAATTGGCAAAAACATTGGCGATTTTTTTTTTTTTGTAACATTTTAATATATAATAATATATCTTTTATTATAAGTATGGAAAACGCATAAAATTATTGTGTTATTTTTAACGTTTATATTATTTAACAGCACTTATATTTCCTTATTTTCATATTTAATATATTATCTCTTTATTTTTATTTATATACTTTCATGATTAATTTATTTCTATAAATTAATTAATTTATCAATACGATTGATAACACAAAATTTAGCTCGACCAAAGATAATACTCTGTCTGTCTTAGATATCATTTTCTTGTAACAATCTTCTTTTCTTCCCATTAATAATTTCTTTTTCTCTCTGGTAAAATAATTTATTCTTTTTTTTTTTTTTTGTTTTACACTTTTTACAATCATGTGTTCACAGGTCCATTCGTGTCAGCGTTGGCCAACAGGTACGGTTTCCGGTTGGTCGCGATCCTCGGAAGTGTGATAAGTTGCAGTGCTTTCGTTCTCTCGTACTTCAGCACTTCCATCGAGTTCCTTTATATCTCTTACGGCGTGCTCGGTAAGTCCTTACCCTATATACCGGGTGGAACATTAAGAGGGTGCTTAAATATTCTCGTGGAAGCTTTGAATGTTAAGGACAAATTTGCACGATTCAAGGCCATTTGCATATCCTTCTCTGCGCATCTTTGTCCTTGTTAATACCTTCGCAAATTGCACAAACGTTTAAGTACACTCTTTTTTCTAGGTCCATTCACCCTGTACACACTTCTTCCAAGTTTCTGCTGTCTCAACGAAAAACTTTCCCTCCATCCTGAGTATTTCATCTTGCATGTAAAGAACGTTCCCTTTTCGAGGCACGTGAACGACATTTCTTTTCATCCCCTTGTTCGTTCGATCGAAATTTCTTTAATAGAAGATACGTGGACACACTCGAGTAACTTTAAATTTGAAATTCAGATTATTAGCTGTTAAATTTTAAATCGTAGAAAAATCGTATAGAACACACGTGATATGCGAGAAGTATTCAAAGTGTATTATTCGCAATTAATTTACTCTAAATACTCTAAATGATATAAATTATATTTAACAATTAACGTTTAAATTATTAAAGCTTGGGAATTGAATGAACTCCCTCTCGTACAATTATCGACGAAATCACGCGATCTCGAAAATTACCATATATCGAGAGATTAAATAAAATCCTCTACCACGTAAAAAAGATAATTAACATATTGGACATTTTGAAAGAATCGATTAGTAATAAAAGTAGTAGAAGTTCAAACAAACATAAAAATTGATACAAAAAAAAAACGTGATATTTATTTATTAAATTAATAAGCAATTTAAAAGATAGAGCTTCGTCTATCATTTTGAATCGTACACGAAACGAGTCTCAAGTCGAATAGTGGGGGAAAAAGAAATAAAAAAAAAAAAAAGAAGAAAATTCCGTGCTTTATCACTTATTACTTTCACGTGGTCTTTGTATCTTGCATTGTCAGGAGGTATCGGGGCAGGCCTGATTTACGTGCCGGCTGTGATAACTACCGGATTTTATTTTGAAAGATGGCGAGCACTGGCCACCGGGATCGCGGTCTGCGGATCCGGAATCGGCGCCTTTCTGCTCGCGCCTATCTCAGACGTGCTGGTCAAACGATTCGGTTGGAGGGGTGCGTTACTCTTCCAAGCAGGTAACGATACCCATTTTTAATAAATCCTTCGTCTATTTGGTAAATTTAAATGTGTTAATAAAGCGACGTCATTATTATCTATAATATCGTATGACTTGAGAATCACATTTTTTTTTAATATTACATTATTGTGATTTTATATTGGTTGTTTTTTATTTTATCATTATTTAAATAGAAGTAAGAAATGTTAATTAAAGAATGTTTTATATGAGAATAAGTTTAAAAATGTTTTCGTTTATTCGAAATTATTCAATATTTGTAACGTATGAGATTTTTACGCTTACCTTAACACGTTCATTTATTTTTTAAAGGTTGAAATATAAAGGTTTCAATTCAAGATTATGATATAAAACCTCTTCCTTTTATGATGCCAAAGAAGCAAAAAGAAAAATTCCACGTATGTATAATAGAGAAGTCTTTTAATTTAGACGTTCTCGTTGCAAATATTGTAGGAATGCTGTTGAATTGCTCCATTTTCGGCGCCATGTTCCGTCCACTGAAACCAACACGGATTAAGGTGAAATCCACCCCGGAAAACGCTGGTTTAGAAGTAAAGAATAGCTTGATAGGAAGGGGAGTGTCCATGGCATCATTGCACTGTGTCCAACCAGAAAGAAGTGGTTTCTTTGGGACAAACAACAATACAGATTACCCCACTGCCGCAGAATTACTTGGAAGCAACCCCAACATAGTAAAGTAATAATAAAATCTTCTATATTTACTTTGCATTCCTATAATTTCCAATTTTATTATTCGCGAACGAACTCATTTCTAATTCTTGTATTGAATTATATTGAAAGATTATAAACTATTATTTAATATTTTTCATTCATGTAAGAGGATTTTAATGAATGCTGTAATGAATTAATCCTTTATTTATTTTGTACGTTCAAGATATAATTATTTCCAATTACATTATATCTATTGTGGTACATTTGAATATTAATATTGAAATTTCATTCACATAAATTAAGTTCCACCGTAAATTACATACAGAATATATGATATATAATAATTACAAAAAGTTTCGTTTGTAAAGATCATAGTGTCTTATTTAATATATGAGATGTGCTGTGAAATGCACGCTGAACTTAAAGGGGAGTAGGTAGTTTAACAAGCTCTCGACGAACGAGTTGAAACCGAGACTAAAAAAGTCGTAAGTCGGTAAACTCATAAAGATACAAGAGACATTAAACTGCGAACGAGAATAAGGGGGTAAGTTTTTGAGTCGAGTGATGATTTGTGAAACTTTTTATTGCAGTGCTTCCAAGTCTCTACATTCTCTTCACAAGATTCACGTGGAGCTACGAACACTAGAGAGAAAGTTGAGCAACTCCGAGAAACGACTGTCAGTCCCGATATATCCAGAGTTGGACATGAATATAGATGAAAAAATCGTGGAGGAGGAGAATAATCTCCTCGGTGGAGATGTTGAAAGACTGAATGGCAAAGTGCCCACGGTGAGTATAAAAAAAAACTCCCATTTTACATTATCCTGTTTTAAGCTTTTACGTTCCCAGTTAAATCAATGTAAAAATTTAAACGAACTCGCTGGGAATACCCATGGATTTTTCTTCGAGAATTGAGCATCCATGATTTATACGAAATATTTAGAATTCAAGATAAATAATCTGTTTAAATATTAAAACAATTTAAACAAAAAATTTTTTCAAAAAAAAAAAGCTTATCGCGAAGTATTAAATTGTAAGATTGTTTTTATTATAAATAAAGTAATCAATTGGAAGTAATTAGATAATTAATGTATCGTAATGTGAGAGTGTGACTCCAATTGTGCGAAAGTTTTGAGAAAAGATGAGATGAGATATATTTTATCGAATCGTAGAAAGAGATTTAAGTGTTAAAAGGATCAACAATTGGTTATAATAATATATTCGGGAGAATATATGTGCATTTTGCGGACACGGTGGAACGGTTTATGGCGATTTCTGTGCCAGGAGGATTCATTTAGCCGCAATAACATTACGTTCTGGTTAAGCAAGTAGAGGAAATTGTTTGGCAGATTCGCAGGCACACGATCAGCGGTAGACGACAGCGCGCGGACTCGGATTGTAGCCAGAAATCGTTGAAGATGGGCAACAGGCGTAACCCATTTAGCAAGGATCCTCAGAGACCGTTCTACAGGGATGATATCTTTTATGGCGGATCTCTGAACAGGTTGCCACATTACAAATCTCAGGTAAGAAGCCGAATGTGTAGAAGATAAATATTTCGAACTCTGGTTGAAAGAAGAGAAAGAGGCGAGCGAGTAAGATAAATATTTTAAATTCCGGAAAACAGTTTCTTTTCCATGAATAATAAAAGATTCGGATATTTGAATACGAACGAAACATTGAGACACGGTGGAGAAAAACTTGGATCGTACCTAATTTATATCCAGACTATAACTTTTCCAAGTACTTTTTCAAAGTAGATAAATTTGGAAACGATCTGTGCAGCAATCATCCGTTGGCTATCACATGTCCGTCACGCGTTTGCCGACTGCAACGGATGTCGCCGAGCAAGAAAGCGGAACTTGCTACATTTGTCCAGAGAGCGTACGTCGAATTCTTACTACTATGCTCGATATAAGCCTTCTGAAGAGCCCTTCCTTCTTGATCCTGGCCATATCTGGTGGGCTCACGATGATGGGTTTCTATACACCCTTCATGTACGTTCCAGGTATCGTATCGAACCACGTTAAATCACGTTTCTTTCGTATCTGTAAAAAAAATTTCCAAGGAAAATAATAAAATCATAAATATTTCCTCTATCTTTTGGAACATCTAAAAGACGTCCAATTCGAAGGGGGGAAGAAAAATCGCAGTGTTCCATTTTTAAAATAAACCAAGTGCCAAATGGAAAAAAGAAAAGAAAAAGGTGAAAAAAAGGGAAGACAAGTAATACCGGTCGATTCTTTTGTACAGATCGAGCCCAATTGGCAGGCATCAAGGCCTCTACTGCTATGTTCCTCGTATCTGTGATTGGTATCGGCAATACCATTGGTCGTGTAGTGTGCGGATTGGCCAGCAGTTTGCCAGGAGTTAACGCTTTGGTCGTCAACAATATATTCATCAGCGCTGGTGGCCTTTTGACCATTTTCTCCGGGCTGTCGCTCAGCCAGAGCTTTCAGTTCTTTTACGCTGCTGGGTTTGGCATTAGTATATGTAAGCATAGATAGACCGGTTTACTATTTTAACATGTTCCAATGTTCTCGATACATGGATCGATTAGAATCACATTCCTTTCCCACCTTTAAAAATTATTTCCTACAATTGGCAATATCTAAAAGTCAGAATTCAGAGGAGAGAAAGACGCACAAATGTTTCTATTTTTATACCGTCCATTAAACCAAATGTGAAAACGCGAAACTATTGATCTCTATTGTTTCAAGATCTTTTACAATTCTCTCTTTAATCCATTATTTCTAAAATTTAATCGCTTTGCAGATAACGTGTGAAAAACTCGTGGAAATTAAATTTTGAAACCGACGAACTTTTACTTTTCCAGCTGTCTTCGCCTCTCTGCGATCGATTCTCGTGGTTGATCTTTTGGGGTTGGAGAAACTAACCAACGCTTTTGGACTGCTTCTTCTGTTTCAAGGTGTGGCAGCCGCCATTGGCGCGCCTCTCGCAGGTGATTAACAAATGACTGATTCCATTGTCAGCAGGGATAATTATTTAATTATCATTCAATTCATTGCATGGAATACTCGTTATTATTCGCTCAGGTATGTTCATGGACGCAACCGGAAGCTACGATGCCTCGTTCTACCTGTCCGGCAGTTTGATCCTTCTCTCGGCTGTGATCTGTTATCCCTTGAAGAGGGTTAATCTATGGGAGACGAAGAAGAACGCCGACAAGATCAGCGACGACCCGTCCTAGTCCAACCGTTGATCGACGTCAAACACCAAACAGAACGCCGTAGACTGAAGTCTATCACGTATTCTCGTTGTCGGTCGCCGTGTGTCTTTGTACATACTAACGCGTAAATAATTTATAACACGACTGTCCGAATCGGTGATTAATTCGTGCCGACATTGAGACGCAATCATCAGAGAACAGCAGAGGGGTTCCATTCGCGTTTTTTATCTTCGAATTTATATCGATCTTCGAGATTAAACAGGACACGTTCACCGAAATCATCCAGAATCGGTTTCGTTAGAGATCATTCGAATTTATCAGCCAAACAGTCGAATTCCTTTCAAAATTAATCCATTTCAATCCTGTTTAATCTGTGCCGAAATTATCCTGTTTTGGATCTACCATAAATGTTTTGGGCGAGTGCAATAGATTTCGTGGACCCACAAAGGAAGGAGGAATACCGTCCAGATTTTCACGATTTCGAAGTTATGAGTTTTATGGGAAGGCGGATCTGACACATCCAAGCTTTGCATTTTCATGAAACGAATCCTATCATATTACACGAGCACCACCTCCTACGATTCATCGTTGTTTTGCTTTTATTCGCCGACGGTATCTCGCGATGAAATGGTCGAGGATCGTGGGAGTTTTTTTTTTTTCTAGATCCTTCGACGATAAATATCGTTATGTTTCCACGCAGAGATTTCTTATCGCGACGTTTCCTAAGTTACCGCTTGGGACGATTATTATTAATTGTCGATCTCTCGTCAAAATTTCACGAAACGAGATTTTAAGAAAGGAGATTACGAGATCTTCAAGTTTATGTTTTATCTCGGGGATTCTACATATACGAACTGCCCATACAATCGTACAATCGTATGTAGCTTAGTTGTGTCACGCTAGAGATGTACATATTCCTTTATCCGTGCTCGAGGAGTTTGTATCTCGAAGGCATTATGCGTGTGCATATTGTTGATGAATCGATCGATTAGTTTTCGGAATCTATCTTGTAAAACACGTTTCATAAGCGACGCAACAAATGTACGGCGAAGGCGTATGTACTTGCATAAACGAGTACGCGTAATCTCGATAGATCGTGTTATTTCTTAGCATCGATTAATTATTAAACCAACATTTCGGCGGCGTGGGCCGGGTGTTTGGCCGATCCTTAGGTGTTAAGAACTTGCTCAAAAATGAAATCCGTTCCTACTGTTCCTAATTAATTATTCTAGTATTGTTTCTTCCTGTTCTTTCGTTTGTTTTTTGTTTCCTTTGGAATCGTTGGGCGTGTTGATTCACGTTTACGAAACGAGTATTCGTATACGTTTGTTAAGCGTTGAATTTGTTAAGAAAGCTATTTACTTGTTATTTTTTTTTTTAAGTTAATTAAAAAATCGAGTGTAAAAAGATATATAAATATTCTTACGTTATGTTCGTTTGGTAAGTCGTTTGGACGAACAAAAAATAAACGAAGATTTTTACTAAAGTTCGACACGGAAAATATTAAAATTAAACCAAAGTTATATAATTGGGTTAGATAGAAACCCGAACATGAAAATGAAAATGAATCTACGAGTGTCGTAACAGGTGGGAAATATTTCAAAAAATTCAGAGAATTGAAACCAACGTAATAAAATAAAGATGTAATCCAGTTTTAATAGCGGACTCTCCATCCCAGAGGAGAGATATCCACTTGTTACGATACACATACCATTTTAATTTTAGGGAGCACGAATGAAAAATCGACATTGGAGTATCAGAGTACGACAGTAATATCAATGTGAATACAAATTTCAAATTTATTAAAAAAATATATATATATATATATATATATATATAAAGGAAAAATCAAGGAGATGGAATATTTTTTAACGTAAAGTCAAATATTATGCATGATACGTGATATCGGACGATTCATCTTAAATAACACGTTAGTTATCAAATATAGAATCGAGTTTTGCAGAAAAGAATTTCAAATAGAATAGACAAGTTCGTTATATAGATCCTTGATCGCGTGCTCTCCACGTGCACACGCTTCGTGCTCCTGAATGATGGCCAAGGAACATTGTTACACAAATATGTAAATTTATTAAATATTATTAGATTAGGAGAGAAAAAGACAGTTGAAACTTGAATTCATATGCCTCTTGTTTTGCCACTCCTACCCGTTCTCATGACTTAGTTACGACGTAATATCGTATTGCAAACGTTATAAATTATTTATCAACGAATCGTAAATATGATGTGATACGATCGATTGAAACTGTTATCGCGACAAATATCCTATGCTTGATTTTCTTGTCTTTTATTGTTAATTATAAACTGGATGTATGAGATTTGAAATTTATCACTTTCCACGTCGGTTTTATTGCGCCTGATCAATCCGTTTTGAAATTATTCGTTAACGGGTTCTGAAATTGCCTTTTCCCAGACAGATATCGCGCGTATTATCTCGTTTTAACGATTCCAAGGATGAGGATGACGTTGTAATTTCCACGAGTTCTCGTTTTACGATCCAGATTGAGCGATTATGAATCGTTTCGAACGAATGGATGAGCCTTTCCCTGTCCATTTTGAGGGATATTGAAGATCGTAACGATCGCTTCTTTTTTTTCACGGGACGTTTTATCCTTCTTATTTTTCCTTCCGAGTCTTTTATTCTAATTGTTTTCATTTTAAAAGCATTTAGAATACGTGAATCATTCTTTCAAGATTCTTTTCTTTCTAACCAATTATTCCAATTATTTCAATAAATATAAAAACATCCTTCGAATAATTTTGAAAATTTCAATCAACAAGAGATTCTCTTCCCTTAAATTATACATACTTTTAAATAAAAAATTTCTATAATCAACCAAAAAAAAAAAAAAAGAAAACTACAAGTGCATACAGTCTACAAAATTGTAACGTCTCGTATATCTCGAACGGATTAAATTGCAATAGATACGTTAAAAGCAGGGCAGGCCGTCTTAAGGTAAAATTTATGCCGCTAACAGTCTAGTTTCCTATGCAGATCGATATCACTCGCATCAGTGCGTGTTAGGATAATGAAGCTGCAGTGATACCATTCGCCGAAACGTCGAAACCATTTTCCACGGATAATTCATCCTCGCCAAACCGAACCCGCGTTTCCTAATCTTCCAACAAATCATTCAAATTACTCGCTCGCGATTTCCATCAAGGATCAAATCGTTCCTTCGTCGTGTCTCTCCGCCACGCTCCTCATTTTCTTCTTCGAAAACGGAGGAAGAGGAGGATCCAAATTCCACCGGGATTCTCGTTTTGGAAATTTGGTCACGGTGTCGCAGCTCGTCGTCGAGACAAGTTCGAAGAAGAAGGTCACGCGGCAAGGAGGGAGACGTGTGTTTAACGAACGGCAATAATTTATGCCTGGGCACGAAAAAGCAAAAAAAAAAAAGCTCGTTACGCTTCCCACCTTCCCACGGCGACTTGGAGGCAATGAGCGAAGTCATAAATAGCGGGAGGGATGGCAATTCGCTTTTACGGCCGAGGGCACAACCCTCCGAATTGGTTTTTTTTCGAACGCTATTGCCGCACTCCACTGAGATGATTGAAAAAAATGCGGCGCATCCCTGTTAAAACGAGGAATCCGCGCGGATTTCCGGCGAATCGTGGCTAATTCTTCGTCCTCGAGACGTTTCTCGATTGGCTCATCCAGGATCTCTGCTTCGCGATACTCGCGAGATAAAATTGTTGGCCCAAGTTCGCGAGTGTGCATCTTTTACGCGCCTTTTTTCACTCGGATAAAATTTGGATGAAATTCGATCGAAACTTCCTCCTTGTCGTAGCTGGGGAAGGAGGAAAGGCAACGATCCAGGTGAGAGAGCGGTGTATTGCCCTCGAGAAGTCGATTAAGAATTCGTCTGCCCTCCGAGTGACCCTCTTTTCTCTTCGAGCGTCCGTTGAAGCGGGTTAAAAAAAATCAGTTCCCGCCGCTCGATATTCGATATTTCTTAAATCTCGAAATTAACCAAAACGATCTTATTTTTCAAAATAAAAATCTCCTCTCGAATTGGACGAATTGGTCAAAATTGATTCAATATTTTTCATCGATTTTATTATACCTTCTACGTTGCAATCTTTCTATACAATAGCTCTTTCTTCTTCAACGAGGGCCAATTACCCACCCAACCTCTTTACCCGTAAGCGTAAACCGCACTTTAAACCATCCCCGAAGTATCTCTTTCGCCTATTCAAACGGTCCCTTTTATCCCATGGAATCGTCCTCTCGCCTTCCTATCCTATTCTGCACGACGAATTGAAGGAACAACCGCCAGAAGAGAGAGAGAGAGAGAATGCGAATAAAGAATAAAGGACGAGGAGCGAAAAAAGGATGGAAAGCGCGAGAAGCAGGTAATAGAAGAAGCAGCACAAGTACTGGAGGAGCAAGGTGGCGAGGAGAGAAGGCGAGGAAGGCAAGGGTTGAAACACGTTGAAGAAACGAGGGTCGGCTTTCACGGCGGTGTGTCTCGAAGGCAGAGCGGGGTCTCTGCTTCCGACTGCAGATACATTGCGACATGGAACTAGGGGTTAGTGTAGGGGGGTTTCGTGGTGGCGCGAGAGGGGTGAAGGGACCGGCGACGGGGGTGGTGGGTCGCTCGGGGCTCGAAAGGGGGATGAAATGCGCCGCGACGCGCTGCGGCGAAGCCAGACGGAGACGGACTTAGTTTCTGCTCCGCATCCGCAGCATCCTCCCTCTCTATCCCCCTCTCCTCCCCAACTTCCTTTCCTCTTCCTTTTCGTTCTTTCTCTCCCTCCCTCCCGCCCGAAACTACTTCTACTCCGCTCCCTCCTCCACCCTTCTCCCTTCTTCCTTCTCTTCTTCCGGCTCTAGCGTGTTCCCTTTTCCACGCGCCCGGTCTTTCGCTCTCTTTCCATCCCTCTGCTTCCGTCTCTCTCCCTTCACCCCCCGCGACTCAAACCACCGCGGTCCAGTCGAGTGTCGGCCCGTGTACCGAACAGTTCACCTCGTGGCTCGTTCGCACCGACACAGCTGCGCCACGTTCGTTCGCCGAATTAAGGGTCCATCGGCTGCCGGCTTCCTCCACGCGTCGAACGCGGGATCGAAAGGATCGACGGGGATGACGAGGAGGTTCTGTCCGACTGGTTGGTGGCAGGCAACGCGACCAGTGTAAAAGGCAGCGACCGGGATCCACGTGGTGTTGACGTGAAAGGTAGAAGGGATACTACTTCACCGGTAAAGGGTGGAATGGGATTCGAAGGTGCATCGCTATTGGATGGCTTGACCAATACGGTTACGAGTTTCATGTTCGAATCGCATTTGTTCGTAGCGTGTATGTGTGCGTGCGTGCGTGCGTGCGTGTGTGTATGTGTGAGAATGTTGGAGGTGGTATTCTTGAAGGGTTATATATAGATGGTACAGTGTTTAGAAACGAGAAAGAATGTTCGCAGAAAATTATAATTTGATTATTGTTTGCGTCGATGTGTGTGTTTCTTTGAAATTTTATAATAACGCTAGCACAGGATGATTTATAATTTTTTCCAAACTTCCGTAAAATATATTGTTGCACGTGATTGGAAAATAAATGTTGGATAATATTCGTTTCTTTATACGATACACACGAATAGATGAAATATGATCGAATAAATAATATTTTATTCTCTTATTATTTCCATTGTTTTTATCTGAAAATCAATATACAATATATTTCTTTTCATTTTTTGCAATTCGAAGATGTTACTTCTCTAATTACCTAGAGAAATAAATAGACCTAGTTTATGCTGTTCTTAACAAGAGAAGAAGCATCTCATCTTATTAGACTCTAGTCTCTTCAACCTTTTCACCGCAATATCTAAAACGCGAAGAAAGAAACAAGAAGAAACTCTATGACCGAAGAAACACTCATCGCGAACTCATTCTTCCTACCAACGAAATTCTTTTTCCCATTTCTTTTATTCTTTTTCTGAGACGCGCTATGTAACAAGCATGCTCAGTTTTTAAGAGCACCGGAAATAGTTCTTTCGTACCTTTTTACCATTATTACAAATACACACAAATACACTTAACGTTGTTTAACGTTCTTTGTATTCTGGTCAGACACGGTCAAAATGTTGTGTAATTTGATTGAAATCAAAGATTGAAAATAAGCTATTGGCGTCCACGTGTCACGAATTCGAAATTGCAATAAACCTTCACCACTGCATGCGTTTATTTCACGCAATATCAGATTTGAATTATATTTACCGATATTAAAAAATTTCGTTTATCATATTTTTATTGTGATTAAATATTGATTTTATGATTCTTTGATTTTGAGCAATTTTTAAATATATGAGCGATAATCGTGAATGCGCGAATCTCATTTTCGAATAGAATACCGAACATAGAATGTTTAAAAAATTGCAATTTATCGCGTTTAAAAATTAGCAAAGCAAGAAATATTTTCTTGCTTTTCGTTGATTGAAATAAAATTGAATTTATTCACACTTGTTTTCAAATAATGAATATCGATATTAATGACATATTTATATCTATAAAATATGCATGATTTAATGAAAGATTGATCAAATCAACTGATATCTGATTTAAATGAACTAAATCGCTTGATTTTCTTTACACAAAAGAATTCAATTACAGTCTTTTTAAATATAACGACTGTAACTTCGACAATAACCGGTTCTGATCTCGATTCTGTGTTCCTAACCTTTTTTTCTTTCGCCAACATTAATCAAATTAAAATTCCCGCTCGCGATCGGTGAATAGTTTTTAAGCCATGTAAAGTAATTTAACATATTTTCCTTAGTTTTTAATTATTTCCTTTTTCTTGAATCTAATTTAATTTAACATGGAAAATCAATATTTATCGATTTTACATTGTAAAATATCGGAAATGTAGATAATGTTCTACAATAGATATTATATTATATATCTTAAAATTGATAAATCAAATTTTTATATTCTATAATTTTGTTCATGGTGTTTTAAAAAAATACGGTGTTTCAATGGAAAATTGCTATAATTGACACGAATAATAATTATCATAAATTATATTAATAATTATGTTATATAACCAATAAGCACGAGTGTTACAGCTTTATTTATAACGTGACGAACACTTCTAAATTAGAAAATAATTAACCTCCCGTCAGAATTTTCGATAAAATTCGTATTTATTTTTTAACATTTATGATAGATTCATTAATTTTTTATTTTAATTTTAATTTTCCGCTTGAATACACAATGAAAAGATATTCAAAAGAAGAGAATTAAAACAAAGAACGCATCGTTTGTCACTTGAAATTCATCATTCATACCTGATGTGTTAACCGACGAGAGACCATTGTGCAGTTTGCAGGTTCGTATAAAATAGAATGCTGCATTAACGTTCAGCCAAGCGTGTCCCAAGAGTACTCAGTTAATGGGTTAATTCTTCCAAATTTAAAAGACCCAGTATTTGTAGTAGTAACAGCACAATTACAATACACTTTTCGATTATTAACGCCATTAATTTCATTGTCATCTCGTTTTATCACAACTACGCGTGTTTATCACAATGGCGGTGAAACGAGATCTCGAATTAGAAAAGCGCGGTAAAATTACCACAAACTATATTGTACATATATGCGTGCTTTTCAGGAATATCAACATCGATAAAGTCGTGAAATCGGCTCGAGGGTACTGCTACGAAGAAGAGGCACTCAATTCAAGCACTAGTTACATATATTGTGTTAATATAAAAACGGCACTGGCAATTTAGTGCGATTGCTTCCGTTTTCGATAACCATGTGGATCGATTTTCATCATGACTGTGCAATTTTTATTATTCGTAATTTATTTGATATTTATCACCGATTATTTACATAAATGAAAAATATTGTTATGATGTGGTCGTAAAACTACGTGGTAATTATTATATTTTTGAATCTTTCGCGAAAATTTAATACGAAAACGCAATAACTTGTTACACATCACTCACGCTTATTTCTCGCAAAATATGTGATACACTTGATCGACGATCGTTAGCAAATTTGTTAATTTCTATTAAACTGGTGGCGCCTCCTTTGAGTATACTGGAAGAAGTTCAGAATTTCATGAAATAGTAAAAAGGGGGCGTGATGTGGAAAATTTTAGAACCGCTAATAGGTAATCTATAAACAAGTTTGATATTCGGAGATCGTGTGGTCACTAAAGTTTGCGTATTGGTGCTTATCCTAATGAAGGAAGAACAAACGTGATTGTGTGTAAGGATTTAGGCATTTTTATCATGATGTTGTTCGATGTTCTACAAGTAAACGTAAATAAACTATGTTTATCTATCACCATGAAACGCTTTACTTCCATATCGATGCAATGATCAATGCAATACGCCATTTTTCCCGCGCTTTCGAAGTGAATAGAATCGCCATGTTTGTGCAACTAAAAATAAATGACCGGGAAACGTGAAGTATCATTCCTTACTTGTATCTTTCTGTATGTTTCTCGTAGAAGGTGAAGTCGCAGTGTTAGAAGGAAAACCAGAAAAGGAAGAAGTCAGTTATTTTGGTGCTAATTAAGTGACGACGTTCACACGTACACGTGTACATATACAACAATCAGGAATAGTGTCTAATTGGCACGGAAACAACACAGTCATTCTTAATTAGTTAATTTGCGAAGAGGCTCAACAACCGATGCATCGCGACACGCTCGATTATTGCAGGATGCAGTTACTTTTGGTCATCTCGGGATAATCATCCTGTCATTTAGCTATTCCCCGAAATCGGGCCAAATCTGGTGAACGAAGGACTACAATACCGCCTTAACGATAATTCGAACAACTTTTCTTCTCTTCTATGACAAGTTCCTACAGTACGTGACCAAATTTGCGACTATGACTAGCGGACAAAGGAATAAGTCCATAGTACATCCGGAACAGCGATATGCGTACATGCCTTGTCCGCTTTACGACACTGGTGAGTGATTTTTATCCTGTTTAGAACGCATGCATTGTCTTCTCCGTACATTACACATAAATTCATATTTTTTTGTTCATCAATAACATCTAAAGATTTTAAATAGATTGTAATTTATTATTCATAATTCGTCATTTTTGAAATTTATTATCAATATAATCACTATCATATTTATGGCATTCAAAATTTTATTTTTCTTTTAAGATCGACTAAATAGGAAACTTCGTAGTTTGAATTCATTTTTCACATTGAAAAATTCAAATAAGCGAGGATATATATTGACACGAAAAAGAGGATCTTCAGTTTCTTTCGATATCGTTCTCATAGGTTTCTTATGATTGCTATTCTAGTTACATGTTATTGAATGCAAATAAAGGAAAGGATCACGTATTTTATAAGATTTCTTTGTCGATTCCTGAAAATTGCCAGTTAGAATTCGTAATAAAGGAAATTTATATAATTATATTCTCTGTCGTTTCCATAACGAATAAAGTTTCAGATAGAATCGAACACTTCAACTGGTGGCTTTATTACGAGGTATTTCACTTACTTTGTATCTAAATATCATTCAATTTAAGAAAAGTTGACTATTAAATAAGCTTCTTCTCGAGTTCTTAAAGGATCGTTTATTGTGGCAAAAATGATCATTGGATCTTTTACGTGCGAGAAGTGAAAAAAGAGAGGATAAGAAAAAAATAGAAGATCGAGGAAAAAAGAAAAGTTGATTCATTATTGATTTAACTATTATTGTTGAGTTTTTATATACCATATCTATCGTTATAATCACTAAATAATTCAAACTATCCGAATGGAAAAAAATTCAAATTTTATTTTCAAATGATATAATTTTTACAAGGAAAAAAACGAGAAACTTATGAAATATGGAAAATTTCCCATTATAATACTGTTCAGAATCTCAAAATAGATATTCATAAAATTTATTCATTCAAGAATGATATTTTATTCCGTGATGGTCGTGTCATTGATGTAATTTATAACCCCGCATAAATTAAATGATCATGCCGTGAATTATTATTTTCATCAATATTTATTAAATTGTTTTATTGCATTTTAAGATGTATTTCTATACGCACGACTCATTTGAATAACAAAACTGCGAAGTTTCCTAATTAAGCGCATCCAATCCATGCGATTCCTCTGTGCATCTTCCAAGCGAGATTTTTTCTTTCATTTTTTTTGACTGCACAGCTAAGAACACTTGTTACGTAACTATTAGCATGCAGTTAATTTTTAAAATAAATTGAATTGCATCCATGTTTATGCAAATGTCAAAATTAATTTATGCAATTTATCGGTTTTCAAGTATTTTATAAATTTCAAGTAGTTCAGGTTGCTAATAGGCGATCCATTTTTTTTTGTATCAAACTTCTTCGCTATACAAGTCGATAGAATAATTTGTAATATGTATAAAAATTCATAATACCAAATCTATATTTTCATATAGATTTATTACACTGCCGCTCAAAGATACCTATTTATAATAACAAATCGATGATTGAATATATATCTATTTATGAGCGACAATGTACGTAACAATCCTTTTCAAAAATTTTATAATTTTACATCTTCGAATTCACAAGTAGTCCCCATAGAGACGAAACTGTTGCATGCAGTAAATCAATTCGCATGCGACCAATTACGTCTGAAAATTAATTATAGCGACGAACAATAACCCCGGATGCTCGTGATCCATCAGCGTAACTCCTGTGTCGTCTGATCGCAAATTTGACCGAAACTTTTGTGTCAGTGACACGACCGCAGAACAGCGACGATATTCAATGTCGAAATACGGGTATTAAAGCTAACCACGTATGATGAACGAGACCCTCGTATCGAAGTTGGACGACCCTTGAGAGGTTTGGAAGTAAAAGGCGGTGAGATCTTCGCCCCATCTCGTTTATGGTCCTTCAGTCACGTGTTTCAAGTCATTGCAACATTATTAAAAAAAAAATGTTACCGAAAATTTTGATCAAAAAGTATTTTAAAAATGATTAATAATCATTCTCTGATCCAATTTTCTATAACTGGATCATTTTTGATCCAGCGTTTGATTTAGTTGTTGATAATTAAATAAAGAAATTTAGATAAATTTTCATCTGTTACTGTAGGTTTTGAGTCATCTATCGTAAGTCGATGTTGAATGAATTTTAAATGATGATTAAGAATGATTAGTTACAGTTCGCCAAATTTGTTGATAGGTTACACCGGAATGATAGAATAATTATTCCTCGTTGTTCTCTATTCATGGTAATTGTAAAGTCAATTTACTATTCATACAGAATCAGTAAGTTTAACTTAGACCAGATCCAATATGTATATACATTTGATCGATGAATGGTCAGCCGCACAAAGAGTTCTCGTTTCAATCGAGCTCCAAAATTCTTTTGCTCCATAAAATATACATTTATCGCACGCTTTAATTCCATTTATCATCTATCAAATCAATATTTAACGAATCGTAAGATGTATTAAACACAAAGAAAATTGACTAATATACTATTCTCTATTAATTAAAATATTTTATTTAATATTTTCTCATTTTACAATTAAAGTTCCACGTGTTTTTTTTTTATCTTTAAAGTTAAGAAGCTTATATAAACTTTTTACAGATCTAGAGCTTTATTTATCCTAGAAAAAAATAATGAAATGCTGGATAGATTATTCAAATTTCTATTAAAATTGTTAAGCTTTCTATATACAAGAGGGCACGAAAAAAAAGGCTTAATCCAATTCAAGTCCGTTCCACGATTAACGAGAATCACAGATGATATTAGAAAATATTGCTGTTTTCAGGTTATCAAGTTGGTAATGTTGAATAATGTCATAGATTAAGGGTATAGGTCGCGCAATTTTAAGTTGTTTCCCCTTCAAGGGGAACAACCACGTACATTTGGCGATGCTTGCGATTTAGAACAATTCGTGCCGCTTCATGTTTCATTCACCGTCCGTTTCATTATGCATCATAGTGGTTAGCGAGGCCACGTGTACCAGGATTAATTGCAATTTCCAACGCCTCGCGACACGCCCGTAATCAACACCGTGACGAATGAAAGCGATTGCGAATATCGGATTTTTTTCTCCTTTTTTCCTTTTTTTTTCTTTTCTTTTTTTTTTTTTTTCGTTTTACTTAAAACGATCGAGCACGGCCATCGACTTTGTCATTTGATTCGTACTTGAATCGCATCCGTGTTGTACGAGGTGTAAAGCTTGTTCGAGGGATCGTGTTGTTGACTTTGATAGGTTTAGGATTATGGCGACAGAGATGTTCACTCATGATTCGATATTTACGCGAGTTTGGAAAATTGATCTTTCGAGAGATCGAGTATTCGAAAGAAAGTTGATTCGAATGAAGATTTTTTTTTTTTTTTTAATTAGATATTTATCTTCCTCTGGAAGATCGTGAAGTGATGGAATTATTTTTCTTCAAACTTCGCTTGATTGGGACTTAAGGGTCAGTTTTATTAAAACTGCTGCGTGATAAACTTTTCTGTGAGAAATATATATTTTCAAATTGCATATTTTAGTCTACGGTGTAATTAAACCAGTGTTGTAAATCTTCAATATTAATTTACCGATTGTTGTTCTCAATATCTCTGATTAATTGCACAATCATCTATACGGTTTTTAGATGATATTAAAATATTTAAAATGGTAGAACTGTCGCTTATTAGTTTCACATTTCATTTATTTCATGGTTTCTTCTTTTTCCTCGATTAAAATTTGAGCCACCAATCTCTCGAAGTCACGTACAAATCTTCTAAAAGATTCGAGATCTCAACCACCTTTCAATCAAGAGAAACGTTAATTGTCAGGCAGTTTATTCGAACGAGAATCGTAGTCAGATTGCAATCTATTTGGCACATATAAAAGGCAGCCGTGTTTCGTTCGCTTGATAAACAGAAAAGAAACGTGAATCGTCTAATTAAGGAAACTATTGGTTAACCAATGATTATCATTCGATCCAAGCGAACTATTTATCGTATTGGTTTTGCTCAACTCGAACGCAGATTAAACTATTTAAACTATTTATAGGCAAAAGAATTTCGTCATTTTTCAACGATTTGTCGTCGAATAAATCTAACTAACAAAAAACAGAACATGTTAAATTTTATCGAACATGCGAAACGAATTGATAGAATGTAAAAATGAATATTCGAATACACTTATGATATTTTATAAAAATTAATTCTATAATAATGACGTGATTGAGAAAGAAATTAGAATGCACGTGAAAAATTTATGATATTTTTTTGAGATAATAATTTTACTTATTCTGCGATTTTTCTGAGGAAAAATAATTTTTGACACGAGTCAAATCAATTTACAAATGTTACAATTTGAGCAAATATTAGATTCGAGATCTAAATAATTTATTCTGCTCGTCTGGATGGAGATTGCTCGTTCAACTAACAATTCGCGTGTTTAACTGTCATTTAAATTTGCAATGATTTCAAATGAATTTAATTCTTTCAAGATCAATAAAATATTCCAAGGCAATTTTTACAACAATTATCATAAAAACATTAGAATCTTATTGGAACAATCGCATTAAAAAATGAGATCGTTCATCTCAAAAATTAAAAGATTCAGTCAAGCTTTCTTTTAATTGGCTACATCGTGTACCGTTGTATTTAATATTGTGCATCTCCCAACTATGGCAAAAATAAATAATAAAAGAATGATGAAATAATAAAAAAAATTTGCTGAATCGCGTGTTTGCTGGTTATAAATCGGATTATCGTATAAATCATGTATCGATGGGTGACGGAGAACCAGGCCGAGAAATTCAATTCCATCATGTTGCGTTTCGACGTTTGGTTGAAACGTTTTCAATGTTCGAAGCTGCGAATTCTTCCGGTAAAATAATTCGATTTGAAAAATTTATCATTCAAACAGACGGTGTAACATTGCTCGAGATTTTAGGATTTTCGTAGAAAATCGTGTTTATAGGAAAAGAAGGCTCGCTACGAGATAACACA